TATGAACATTGCTCAACATCATGAAAATTAAACCTTATTTTCAATAAGCAATCTTGAAAAATATTTGGGGGTGCTTAACTTTTTTCCAGGAGTATATATTGCAGTTTGCCCCTCTGGCTGAAGTATTCCTCCTTACTACCATCTTCTAGATGTCAATTCCTGGTGGATCAGGTGTTGGTTCTAGACAGTCCGGCTACATAAGTCCTCGTATGTGTTTGGCTGGTACCCTCCTACCACAGACTGAAGATAAATTCCAAATGCCACCAGGTTGGACCATATGCAACCCCAAATTGCTGTCCCTCTTTCTACCATCTGATATATTTGGATTACTGGTGAATCTGGTGTTGTTTGGAAGCTGGATAAGACATGAATTCCCATGCATGGCTGGTTCCCTGTTCCTACTGCAGACTGGATGACACATTCCGAATGCTGCCAGGTTTTGGACAAGAGATGAATGTCTCCTGAGCTATCCTTACTTCCTTTCATCTGTTGGATGTTGGTTTCCAGTGGATTAGGTGTTGGAGATGTGCACATGTGGAGATGGATCCTTGGTACAGGAGCCCGTCTTCTCTCCCAGGACTCGTTTTTGAGGTGAAAGGTAGAGAACCCTCTTCCTACCAAGGACCTGATGGACAATTCCAGATGCCACCAGCTGTTGGTTGAGGTCAAACTCCCATTTATGGTTTGTTGTGGCCTTTATGTTTTGGCAACACATTCCTCATGGCCAAAGAGTATAACTGGCTCAGAAGTGTTGCGGTCTTCCACTGGTGTGATGTTTTTAATTCCCTACCACACCTCATGGTTTTTCTAAATATTCTCACCAGCCCTCCACCAATTCAGTGTGGGATTCTAGCTTTTTGTGAGAGGAGGTAAGATATCATATTGGAAATTAACATTTTCCTAAACTGAAAATGTATTTTCAATATATACTTGCCTCCTCTCTCATTTCCTACCCATCTTCCCCATTTCTGATGTATTGGTTGACTTGGTTATGACCAATCTTGAAGTGATTAACAAGCACATTATTAGATATGGCACTAGTTATGATAGGGGTAGTGTCGTACTCCTATTTGTGGAAAGTTGTAGATATGCATAAAGAAGTGGGAGGTAAAAGGATAGTAGCAGGCAAAACATTTGTGCTGATAGAGGACAGTACTAATTGAAAAAGCTTTTTAAGAGAGTCGGTAAGTATCTATTGGAAATACATTTTTAGTTTAGGAAAAGGTTACCTTATCTGTATTAGTCTAAACTCATTCTAGATTTTAAGGAAGGGGCTAAAAGAGGTTAAGCTTTATATACCATTATAATCATGATAATAGTAAAAACATGGGGTGGTATAGTATCCCTGAAAATGACTATAAAATGTAAGAACTAAGAATATTTAACTAAGTTATCTAATAGTGTATTCTCAAAATAACCAAAAAATAAAATAAATATTGAAGATACTCAACTAGAATATAATTCTGAGGTTCAAATAACACAAAAACTTCCAAAAGCTTAGCTTTCACATGGTCTTACACTTCCAGTAACAACAACAACACATCTGTGTATCTATGTAAAAAAATGAAATTTATTTTTAAAATTTTAATTTCTCAGTCTTTCTACTTACCACCAAAGGATAGATATCTAAATTATTCATGTGAATTCTAGCAATTCACATAAAATGCTGTGTTAGAGTAATATATTTAAAAGCCAATTGAGTCCATATGGACACTGTAGGTAACTTTAGAGCTTAAGAACCTGGTGTTGAATTATAGCTGGAGAATTCAGTAAGATAACTAATGAAAATTTGTGTTGGGTTACAACTAGCGAAGGCAAAAAGTTTTTTATCTGACATATCTAGTATTGAGTTCCAACTAATATGTGAAAGATAAACTTTAAATTGTAAGAATAAGTTTTGAAGTTAATTAGGGCTGTGTTGAAAGGTTTGTTCACGAGTCAAAAAGTCAAAGATAGTTTTATATTCAAAGGCTTTTCAGGTGCCATTCAAGCAGTGTCTGACTTTTTTCTGTTGTTAATAGAAATCATTTGAAAATTTGAATAATATCACATATTATACGTCACTCACAAGAAAAAAATGATTTGTTTATTTGTATAAATGCACATTACTTAAACAAAAGTTGTATTAAAAATGAAATACACACATACACCTCCAAAACATTGTACGTATAATTTCTTTCTGTGCTTTGAAGTAAACCATTATGGAAAAGCAAAGAGGGGTATGTTTAATAGCTGCATCACTTCAATAAAATGTATTGAATGCCTAGTGTACAAGATGTAAGAGAAGTGTTATGGTAGAACAAGTATGAAAAACAAAATATACACTAACACTTTAGTATTATGTTTATTAGGTATTTTTGATTAATCAACAATTTTCTTTTAAAAAAGACTGACAGCTAACCTGCTTGGAACAGTGACTGCTAAATAGAGCTTTGTTTTGTTTGAATATGTTGTAGTTTTTAACTGGTCACAGTTAGGTACTCTTTTTATATATAATTCAAGCTTACTGTATATATTTGAGTATTTTCAAAAAGCAGCATCAATTATGTGTACATAAACATTGTGCATTTTTATTTTTATTGAAATTATAAAAACATGATTACAGTTCTGTATAACAATTTTAATGTACATATGAATGTTTTATTCCAGTTATATATATTACCTGCAAAATAAAAGGGTTTTCAATGAAATATAAACTAGTATTTGGGACATCATCAGTAAATTATCCAAATTAGTACTATTGAAGACTCAAATCTTCATTCAGTAATGTGTTTCGAACCTTCGAAGGTCAGAATCTACTTTTAGTTACAGATGTAAACTTAATTAGTATTAAAGAATAAATAATAAACCATCATTTTCAAAGTTCTAAGTAAAAATGACTTCAGTTATAATAGAGGAAATATTCACTCCTAAGATGACTTTGAATACATACACAAATCAAATCTTTTATATTTTACATTATTATTTTTAATATTGTACTGCTGTGTGGTTTTTATAAGTTTTACCCCAGTCATATTGTAGAGATTGTATTTTTTTCAAAAAGTTATGGTATATTGTATTTTATTCTCTTTTGTACCTTGTGAACATTGAAATCGTTCAATATATATATTCTTTAATGTTCTGTCAGTACATGAAATTCATGATAATCCTTATCTAGAAATATTGTTTAATTTTACTGATTACTAGTTAAAGATGTAGACAGTAATATCCTATAAAGGACTACCATAAATACAAGGAAAATGTGTCAGAAGAATTTTTGTTTTGTAGTCAGAAGGAATATTAATTGTCCTTTAAAGTGCTCAAAATGTTTTTATGGATGAATTTACTAACATTGAACTCTCTCTGTTAACAGGGTGTCAAGCTGAATGACACGGGGCATATATTGGTTGATGAATACCAAAACACTTCTCACAGCAGTGTTTATGCTTTGGGAGATGTGTGTGGGAAATTTCTCCTCACCCCAGGTATTTCATAATTCTTTGCTTTACTCCCTGACATTTTAACCAGTATGTAACCACCATGTAAGCATGAAACTATATATATAGTGTAACTTGTAATATAATAAGCATACCTTCACAAAACTTGGCAAGCTTTTGCTAAACATTACAATTCTGGTCCAGATGCTGATTAGTCTGAGTGCAAGGTGATTTTCATTTTAAAATTAAAAATACTTTTTCATCTTAAGGTCTTCAGATATTAGCTGCATAACCTCTAGAACTTCGTAAGTGAATATCAAGTGTTTTTTCAGGAAAATTTCATTTGTGTTTGTTTCATTTCTTTACCCTAACACTTATACGGACTCGGTCAATTTGACCAACCATGTAACCACCTTGTTTTATTGTTCTTTGAACTGCATCTAACTACTATACATGCATAACAAAGTATTGAATATAGTGTTGCTTATGTAGCTTACACACATACCTTGCTGAAAAATTGTATTTAATTTTTTTTCATTTATATTTTTGTATCTAACCTAATAAGTTTCAAGTTTTCATATTTTTGTTACTTGTATAACAATAATTAACAAATATATAAAAACAAAAAAAATTAGTACTGATATGTGAGTCTTGTACTTTTTTCTGGCAGTTGAAGTCTCAGTAAAATTTAACCCTAATTTTTGGTTAGGTTACTATTAGTAATTTATTGAATATTTGAAATAAATAAAATTTCATTTAGGAACACAAAATGGTAACACACACAAAGAATACATTGTCCTATAACTATTATAATATAACTTGCTTTTTAACAAGCTATGAGTGTATTAAATATTTCTCTTACTTGCTAGAGGTGAAGTCTGCAATAACAACAATGAATATGTAAGCTGAATAATTCAAAAGCTGTTGTTAGAATGATCTAACATATTACATAACTTACAAGTAAATTAAAATCTCCTCTTTCTAACATATTACATAATTTACAAGTAAATTAAAATCTCTTTCTTTTGGTTATAAATAATGTATTAGCAAATGTTAAAGAGAATTACTGACATTTTTTAAAAGACAGTATGTGATAGAAGGGCATTACAAGTGGGTTTGATTTTCTGGCTTATATCTCTGTAAATCAAGGTGATTGAAAACTGTAAAATTATATTATGTCTCAGTTATACTATAAATTTGTATTCAAACTCAAATAAGGGTGGAATGAAGATGTGAAGACTGATAATTTATTTGAACATATCCTTTTTAGTTTAAGAAATTAAAACTTAACTAATATCAAAATGTGGTTTATTAACTATGTTTTCACACCATGTTTATTAAACACTGTCATAGTAAAGTAGTTTAAATAAATTTGGAATGTAACTATAAATAACTTTATGTCGAGAGGGTTAATAAAAAATAAGCAGACCTTAATATTTTGCATCTCAAAAATGATGTATAGAGAGCATATTGCAGATTAATCTACTGTGGGCTATTATTTATTTAAGGACAGGTTAGTGATTAATAAATATATTTTTCATTAACTCACAGTGAAGTATCACATCTATAGTGAAAATATTCCTAAGAAAAAGTGATGAGATGAAATATCTGTATAGAGCATATTGATGTGTAAGTTCTGGTGAAGTAACACAGCTATATAAAATTATTGTTTAAGTTATGATGAAGTAACACATCTATAATATATTGGGGAGTAATTTATGATAATGGAACATATCTGTGTTACATATTGTTGAGTGACTTGTAATGAAATAACATATCTATGTAACATATTGTTGAGTGACTTGTAATGAAATAACACATCTGTATAGCATCTTGTTGAGTAAATGAAAAGAAAGTGTGGTATGAATAGAGTGCATATTAACTTTTTTCAGACCAGTTAGCACCTTTCAGATGTTAAGTGAAATTTGATATGTAGGTTTTCAAAAGTTAAATAAATAATAATAATTTGGTTTCAACAAGATTTTACTTGACAAAGACAAATGAAAAAAAATCTTCAATTTATACACAGCTCTGAGAAGTTTTATCCTCTAAACAATTAGTTTGTCAGTTTCTTTTTCTTTCCATCTTAAAACATAGGTTCTTATTTGCTCAGAGAGTATAACCCTTGAGAAATACAATTACGTCTCACGCTGAATTAGCAGAGTTTGTGACCCCAAATTGACCTTTATAGTTTCCATACTATAACTTCTTTCACAAAATTTTGCAATCTTTCATTAATCAGTATGAGTCATTTGTAGACAGAAAACCAGAATTTTTTAATGAAGTATTTTCACTAAAAATTTCTCTATGACTATAAGGAGACAAAGTCTCGATTGCATTGACTGCAAAGTGATTTTACTGTTAAGATTAAAAATACTTTTCTTCATCTGAAAAATCTCAAATTTCCATTGTGTAATCCCTAAAACCTCCTAAATGCATTTCAAACGTTTATTTCAGTAAAACTTTATAGTTTACCCATTTATTTTCTCTACCCTATCTCAAAACGGAATTGGTCAATTGACATCGTAACCACCAGAAAAAAAATTAAATAAATCTAAATTACCCTTTTTTTCTTTCTAGAATGACTTCAAATTGTGACATGAAACTGCATTTGTTTATCCTAAATAGCTTTAAACTCATAACAATATACATCTGTCTATTCTTAAATTTATTTTTTTATTCCTCCTTGAACCATGTTAAACTAATATTTCTGCCACACAGGTTCTAAATCACTTGGCAAACATGTAGCTCATGAGCATACCTTGTAAAAAAATATTCTTATTCTTTATTTTACCTATTTTAACCTAAAAAAAATGTCCAATTTTTACATTTTAGTTACTTTTGTAATAATGAAGAAAGAATACACATGAGAAACAAGCATAAAGTACTTACCTGGGTCCTTTTTTTTTTTTGCTGTTAACTGTCAACAAAGCTTGACCCTACTTTTTTATACTTATTTAACTAAATAATTCACCAAAGAATGCAAAATAATAACATGCAAAAAGCAGACAATGTCCTTTAACTATCACAATTATTCTGGCTTTCTAACTATGCAATAAGGGCCATTAAAATCCAGCTAAGCTCATCAATATGTTTCCCATGGACTGAAAGCATGATTGAGAATTCTCTGTACAGAAAACAATATAATATAATATGTAATTTGGTAGATTACAACCATGGCTTTCTATTGGTTATAAATGTCTGTGCAGAAAGTGTTAATTAAATAATGCACCAAAGAACACAGAATAATAACATGCAAATTTTAGACAATGTCCTATAACAATCACAATTTTTCTGGCTTTCTAACTATGCAACAAGAGCTATTAAAAATTCAGGTAAACTCGTCAGTTCGTTTCCCATGGTAATAAAGTTTGAACTGGAAGTGAAATAGACAATTTCTATACAGAAAACAACATAATATAGTACATCATTTGACAGATTAAAACCTTGGTTTTCTATTGGTTATATAAATAATAGAGTATTAAACATCAGATAGAACAATTAACAATTTGTGAAAGAGAGGATGTGACAGGTGGGCATGAGAAGAGGGGTCTGAGTTTCTAGTTTATGGCTCTGTAACCAAATACAATTGGAGATTATAAAAATTATGCTTTGCCTGAGCAATGACAACATTATAATGAGTAATATAGGTCAAATTTTGTACTTCTTGGAGGAGTGGTAAATATATTAAGAGAAAAGGGGATACCTGGTGGAAGTTGTGGATTTTTTTAATGTTGCCTTATAAAACTAAGAACTTAAACCTATATAATATTAAAATTTGGATTATTAGCTACATTTTGATGTGAAGTTTATTCATATACCATAATAACCAAGAACTTTAATTATAATTTGAATGTAATTCACTATAAATTTGTGATGTGCAGAAAAAGATGTTCATAGCAAGAGTGTTAACAAAGTCTTGTTTCTGTTGTGATTTTCAAAATTCTGTTTGATGTTTTATTATTACAGGCCCCAGTTAACATCACATGCTTTGAGGTCGTAAAATTGTGATATGTAGGCATATGTTTTTTACCTGATTTAATAATATAGTAATTTGAAAAAAAAATCAGTTATTTTGTTTCTGTGTTATAATGGTGGTGACAACAGGTCCAACAAGTCATTAAGAAGCTAGTGTGCTTCTTTTTTTTTGTTCTCTATAGTAGGTGACATGTACTGCCTGAGAGAATATTGCACAAATACATAGCATCCATGTTAAATGGACTGATACTGTAATATCCTTCATTGGCCAAATATGTTGTTGACTAAATGTAACAGCCAACCAGTGCTGTGAGGGAACCAAGATCATCAGGTGACATTGTCAACTGTAGAAAGAAAGTGAGTTTACTTGTTGAATTCAGGCACACTTTCTTTAGCCAGTCTCTACTATGATATTTTAAAGTGAAGACTACTTTCAAAAACATTGTGCTTTAGTTCTATGGAGATTAATCCCAAGGGAAAGAAAGTTGTGGAGCTAAACACAGCCTAGTAGAAAGGAATGTCGTGTTGTCTGAATAGGTATTTATGTGTTTTTTTGTTTGTTGTAATAAAGATTTTGTTTATTTATTCTTATTTGTCCATGCTCATTATTTTACACTTAAAGGAACTGAGTCATGTTATATATTACAGGACATTCTCCTTATTTCTTGATCAAATCTGCTGATGTTTGTAGGTTTACCTATCTGGTACTTGTCAGGAAATCAGTTTTACATGAAAATACCAGAAGTAGAGATATGAAGGAGAAATATTGTGTGATCCACAGTTTCTGAAATAATAATGTGTTAGCTAGCCCTCACTTGATCTCTTGAGTTTAAGGAGTTTTGAGAAATGCTTCTAAGGAAAATAATGTCATTTTCAGGGCTTAGAAGTACTCAAGACTGAGAGAGAGATAACTTATGAAGAATGAGACTGTTGTTTGGAAGAGATGTTGCATCTTGGAGAAGACCTGTTCTGGACATAGGACTTTTGCTAATGTTGAGAAGAACCATGGTATCAGCAAGCCTGCAACCATGGCTCATTGAGATTTGCTTATGTTTGGTGCACCCAAGCCCCTTGAACAGATGGTACTTCTAATGATCAATCTCAGTGGAAGAAATTCAAGGATGACCAAAGTTTGCAGGAATAGTTTGGGGACTGGCAAGTTCAAGACTGAATGGGAACATCTCTACCAAACTCTCAGTCCATTGCTAGTCAAGGCACACCAACCTCATCTTTGGTCAAGACCACCAATAAATAGTGAACAAAGGCTGGACATGCTGCTGATGAATGATTTTTCACTAGTCAATAATTTCTCTGGCAGGTAAGACAATTGGCACCCACAGATATAGACCATGAGGCAAGATACCTTTCAAGTTGGAAAGGTTTCTTGTCACTTCAACAATGGTTCATGACACATGGGGTTGTGCAGACATTTTCAACAAGCCACTGAGAGTAATTCATCACCCTGTATTCATGTACCAGGGACTTACTGCTTGTTGGGGTTTTGGAGTCCTTGTGAATGGCTTCCACCTGAAACCAAGCACATTGGTGGCATCTTCTCTTGGCATCCATCAGGATTATGAGAGAGAGAGAGAGAGAAGCTTTGGCCTAGCACACAGGACCTGTGAACATGGCCAAGAAGATACAACACACAATGTTTGAGGAGATAGCAAGAGAGGATTGAATCAGTTCCTGAAATGTTTCATGATGTGCAAAACTTGATCCTGAGCTTAGATGGTCCGACTCTCAATGCTTTTGAACACTTGGATGAGGAGCAGTAAGACTACTGGAAACTGTCGTGTACAACCTGTGTTGCTAACTTGATAGATATGGGCTGAGTTCAAGGCTAGAAAGAGGATTGGTGTTGAGGGACTGGTCACATACACAGACAATCTGTGACAGTTATGTGAGAAGGCATACTAGGAAATGGCTTCAGCAGATTGGAAGGGTATCTTGAAGGGCTTCCCATTGAGCTTATGTGGAAGCCACGTCCGTCACAACACACATTGAAGTTGGGACTTCAAATAGGACATGGGAGAGTAAGTAGCCTGCACTGGTAGTTTTAGTGACAATTCCAACAATGGACTTTGTAGCTTGGGTGTTTCCACCAAAATGGAATAAACCTAATCAAAGGGCTAACAAACAGATGCTTCTGTAGGACAAAGATGCATCATGTGGAAGTGTAAGAGCTAGGTAGGGGCTAGGCCTGTTGAAAAAAGATGATGATGAATGAAAATAAGAAATCTCGGTTTTGATTATTTGCCGGTTTTCGATTTGGGGACACACCGGATAACTGAAAAGTGGCATATACACTGGAGATAGAGTGACTATGCCAGATAGTTCTTCATACTTAGCTTCTGATGACCTGTAAAGAAGAAATCCAAATGACTTTTGCATTGTTTTAATACAGGCTTTGCCATCCCTACATAGAAAGTGCTAGTGCAATCTCTGATAATGGAAAAATTTTGTCAGAGTGAATCTGTACAGTTGTTTATTAGATTGTTTTGTGCCTAACTATAATGCCTACTGAATAAATAAAATCATTAGTTTTTGTTTTATGTGAAATTGAATATTTTTTACTTGATGTTATTGTACTAAACACACAGAAATTCAGTAACTCTATAGTTATAGGAAAAATTTTACTATCAACTTTTTTTTATATTGATAAAAAAAATACAAACATCCAACTTGATAGAATATAGCTGTTATGTAATATTTGATAGCTAGGTAACTTGCCCAGTATTCAGAGTAAAATAACTTATAAAATAGAACCTGCATTTTAGTAACATAAAAAATAGTGGTTTTGTTAACTTTTCTAGTATTTATCATTAGTAAATTTCTAATATTAATTGCTATGTGAAAGTATACATAAACTTATAATCTTAGCTTTATTTTTAACACTTTCTAAATAAAAACATTTTACTGTCTTGTAAGGTCAGTTGTATTGTAAATGGTAGTTAGAGTTAACTCTGTTTAGTTGAATACATATTGATGCTTCTTTGCATGTTATTACAGTTGCTATTGCTGCAGGTCGATGTCTTGCCCACCGACTGTTTGACAATCAACCTGAGAAGAAGATAGATTACAGTAATATTCCTACAGTTGTCTTCAGCCATCCTCCTATAGGAACTGTGGGTCTCACTGAAGGTATCTTTTTCTCCTTATAGAATTGTATAGGTCTTGTTGAATGTACTTTATTGGAACTGTGTGTCTTTCTTAATATGTTTGTTTTCTGTTGGTATAATGAGCATTCCTGAAGGTAGTTTGTTTTCCTTTTAAAATTGTGATTCTTATTTATTGAAACTGTAAATCCCACCCAAAGTGTATGCTTCAACATCCTTATTAGAATTATGAATCATATATAAGTTATCACAAAATTACGATACCTTCTGATCCAATGCTTTTGAAAGATAAATCTTTCAGAAGCACTCGAGTTATATGGTATTGTATTTTTGTGTTAAATTGACTTCTTGAACCTACATGTTTTTTTAACATCATGATCATAACATTATTAAATATCCACCATTGGAACGTAATCTTACTGAAGATAAGTATACTATAGGCCGTTTTGGAATTAGGCACGACTTTATTGGACCTATGGTAGGTATCTCTTATGGGACATTTGTTTTACTGGAATTAAACATCTTCCTTACTTTAATTAAATGTTATAATGAAACTAAATACTCGTCATTAGAACTGGGTCATACTAAAATATTTTTTTTTGTTTCCGTTGGTTTATATAATGTTACAAATAATCAGTTTTGAAATTTCCTGTTTTGTTATTCTACGTTATCACTTGTAAATATTTGTGTTTTGTAAAAAATAAGAAAAAGTATTTTTTATGTAAGTTTCAGAATCTAAGATTGTAAATAGCTATGTTTGTATTAGTAAATTTCACATCTTATATTACAAGGATATAAATTTCTGTCATTTTTATCTTAAGTGTTATTTTGTTAGGAGGATGTGTAAAATATTATAAATGTTGTTTCAAGGGTATTTTAGGCAATATAGATATAGTAGAGTTTTGGCTTTAATGGACTGCTTCTTCTTGTTCGTAGAGTAAAGTGATGTTTTAGCTTCTATACTGAGGCCTTCAGGTTGAAGTTCCACTTTGAAAACAAGCAGGATGGACTGTTCCTGCATATTTGTAGAGTGGGATGACATTTTGGTTTCTATACTTCAGGTTGAAGTCCTAATCTAGAAACAAGCAGGATCAATCTGTTAAGCCAAAAATCTGTTTAAATGTTTACCAAACCCAATATTTTAGCAGATATTTCCAAATCAATATTTCCATGTTTTTCTGACACAACAGAGGAAGCTCTTCAGCAGTATGGGAGGGAAAACTTGCGAATCTACAGATCTGCTTTCATACCTCTCTACTATGCTATTACAGAAAAGAAGTCAAAATGTTTAATGAAACTAATCTGTCATGGAAAGGATGAGAAGGTGAGTTTTTTTAGCTGGTATAAGCCGTTTCTTAAAACTCACTATCAAATAATAAAACAAATAAGGATCACTTTTTAGCTTTACTTAAACAGATGTTGATAATTTAATTTTTTGTGAGGCTCAATATTTTTTGAACATTTTATTGTCAAGCTTAAACTCATTGCAAGAGTTTTGTTTTTTGTTAGTATAAAATGATTTTACTTATTTTAAGGGACCTTCCCTTGTTTTTAAGTAATAACTGGGTGATTTCAAATTTAATTTCATATATACTGTTACATGGCCACCTATATTTGTTTAAAAAAAGTAAGGAAGAAGTGGCAAATCAAGAGAGGTGAGAAACGTTTTTTGCTTAAATACTTACAAAAGTTTGGTATCACATGTCTCTTCTGCCCTTTCTATTTAGGTGCCTGTGTACTGTTAAACACATAACTAAAAATACTTTTTTTTTCTATATAACAACAAAATAATCAAAACCTAGGAGTTTCAAGGCATCTACTCCCTTAACCCCTACAACTGAAGGAGCTGTTAGTTTCCTTTAGAGGCCTTTGGCACCACCTGGATAGTAAACATCAGTAATCAGCACATTATCAATAATCATCCACAGTTCTATTGTAGACTATAAACTGTTCATTAAATAATAACATTTGATTCTATCTTAGGTTATTGGACTACATATGATGGGCCTTGGTTGTGATGAAATTCTCCAGGGTTTTGCTGTAGCCATTAAAATGGGTGCAACCAAAAAACAGTTTGATGAATGTGTGGCTATCCATCCAACCACAGCAGAAGAGCTTGTCACCATGCGTTGAATAGTGTGTGTGACAACAGAAGTTTAAAAAAAATATGATGTGCTTTGAGGGTTCAGGTTCTATAGTATTTTACAATGTTTTGCTTTTAATATAATATTAAGTTTCATTTGTTAGTTTGTCACAGAAGATTTGGAATTAATTGGAAAAAAATATTTTGCTTTGTTCACTTTATATACTTAGAACATATATTACATATATTTTTCTATAGTATTCAAATTTATTTTCAGTAATTATGTGTTTAAAACTTTTTCTGTATATGTTATGAGGTTTTGATTAAAGTACTTTATTATCATGGTATATGAATAAACTTAGCATCAAAACATAGCTAATAATCCAAATTTTAATATTATATAAGTTTTAAGTTCTTAATTTTATAAGGCAATGTGAAACAATTCACAATTTCCACTAGTATGAGAATTGTGACATTTGCTCTCTAGGTATCCCCTCTTTTCTAATTTATTTACCACACCTTCAAGAGGTATAAAATTTAACATAAATTACTCATTTTAATGTTGTCATCACTCAGGCAAAGCATAATTTTTATAGCCTTCAATCGTATTTGGTTACAGAGCCATAAACTGGAAAATCAGACCCCCTCTTCCTATGCCCACCTGTCACATCCTCTCTTTCACAAATTGCCAATTGTTCTATCAGATGATTAATACTATTTATAACCAATAGAAAGCCAAGATTTTAATCTGTCAAATGATGTACTATATTACTTTGTTTTATGTACAGAGAATTGTCTATTTCACTTCCAGTTCAAAAATCATTCCCATAGGAAATGAACTGACAAGTTTACCTGAATTTTTAACAGCTCTTGCATAGTTAGAAAGCCAGAAAAATTGTGATAGTTAAGAGACATAGTCGTCTGCTTTTTACATGTTATTATTCTATATTTTTGGTACATTATGTAATTAAATAAAAAAATTATTTAGTGCAGTAGCACCATTAGTACATGAAAGTAGGGTTAAGTTTCATCGACAACTGATACCAAAAGAAAATAAATCGAAGACTCAGGTAAGTACTTTATGCTTGTTTTTCATGTGTTTTGTTTATTTATTATTATAACAGTAACAAAATATATAAATTGGAAACATTTTAGGTTAGATTAGGTAAAATAAAGAATAATATTAATAAGTTCTCAAGAGGTATGTTCGCAAGTAGTCCATGTATTGAGTAATTGTATACTGTACAGCGTTGCTTCTAGGAAGCATTCTTTGCGTACTTACTCTATTTTGAGTGCTACTGGTGCAAATTAATCATTTGCCTGCAAACTAGTTCATGCAAAAAAAAATAATTGAAGTACGCACTTTAATTTTCTGTGTGCATCCACCCTTCAAAATGTATTATGTATGACTTTGTAACACTAGATCACAATCGTAACCAGAAAATTTCAAACAGTAAGTAGCTCATTTGGATATGCAAAAAAATGTGATTGGCTGCATAATGACATCATTCGGTTTTGCAGGAGAATCCCTTGATATTATGGGATATCAACGATTTAAAATGGCAGAAAAAGGAAAGGTAAGAAAACATTCAACAAGCAGTTAATACTCAAAAAATTACAACATATTTCCATCAAACAATGCAAAATAGAAAGAAATAAATAAAGGAAAAAGGTGTAGAGAAGACAACTCTAATGTTAGTTTTGTCAGTGATATGTAGATATTTTCAGAACATACACAAATGAAACAAATTGCAATGATTCAATTTACTGTTTCTTCAAATAAAAGTTACTTGATCATGCTATGCTTTTATGATTTGCGGAGTTGATACCTACTTCATTACATGGATGGCCCACTTTCTGGAACTCAATGGAGGATTTGGCCTGCTTGAGAAAAATCATAGAAGCAATACTGCTGTAATGTGAGCAGCACATTGGCCGTGTGATTTATAACTCATATGGTGAGAATATTGGTTAAACACAGCTCAAAAGGGAATAAAACAATATAAGTATAAACATATATATATACTGTTACAAGTTTAAAGCCATTTGGGATAAACAGATGTTGTTTCATTTTAAAATTTCAAGTCACTCTGGAAAGAAAAAAGAAGAGTTATTTAGGTTTATTTACATTTTTTTTTTGTTTTGGTGGTTACAAGGTCAGTTAAATTGACCAATCTTGTATAGAGTTAGGGTAGGGAAAATAACAGATAAAATGTAAAGTTTAGAGATTACACAAATGAAATTTGAGATTTTTTAGACTGAGAGTCCACCAAATTTTTTGAAGATACAAATACTGTATTAAAAGTTATAGTATGGAAACTATAAAACGAGTTACAAAGTTGGTCAATTTGACGAACCTTGTGGCAAGAGAGTTATTAAATAAAAAATTATTGAGTGCAGTAGTACCACTTGTATAAAAAAAAAGTAGGGGAAAGTTTCATTGACAGCAACATAAAAAAGACCCAAGTAAGTACTGTATAGGAGGGTTTTCTCCACTACGCTGCGATATAACCTTCCTTAGTTTACACCCTTAGTAACTGGACTGAGGTGAATACATTCTGTAGAAAACCACTGACAGCATTAAAAACAATTGATGAAAATGTGTATTATTCTCACTATTTTACAAATTTATTTTTAAAGTAATTAACAAATGATTATTTGACTATATCCATTAGCTAAGTAGTGTTGTCAATGTTGTTGTTTTTTACCTGAGACAAGGTTAAGAGTAGCCTGAATTATTTATCAAAGGTGTGAAACTTTTTGTTATAACCAAAATGCCCAAAAACTGTGTTGCATAGGGGTGCACAAATCACAACTTGAGAAGTCAAGCTAGCTTTCATAGATCTCGAGCAAACACTGAAAGAAAGCAACATTGGGTTGCTGCATGTAATAGAATAAATGAAGATAGATCAACATGGACCCCGTTGTTCATATGCTCTGTTAGATGTTGTCAGTATCTCTGGCAATATAAATTGTTCATATTTGAAAGTTAAATCTGCAGTCACACTGGTCAAAAACTTGTTACCCTTGAACATAGGTACTAACTTGCATTCTTTAAAAGTCCAAACTACAAACAGACATTTCTCCATATTTGTGTAAAACATATGTAATTGTTACTCTCTGGCTGGGGATAACTTTGGTTTTCATAATTTGTTCAACTTGCTTTTAACATGAAAAATTGTCTGTACCCATCCATCTTTGATATATGAATATGTCTCTAGTGACTTGTAATTTTTCATCTTTTTATGACTAAAAAGTTTAGAATTATCATTCAGATATGTATATATATATATATCATATTCAACTGATGGCCACTTAATTGGATCATTTATCCAAGAGTCTGCATGCCACTTGTATGGACAACTTTCTACCCCTGCAACACTTAACTTGGTTTTATAAAGTTCATGATGTATACTTTCTAATGTTTCAAAATAATCATAACTCATTTTTGGTCAATACACTCTAAAAAATCTAACAGAATCACGATAGTGTCAAGCTATCTATATTCACCTTGCTGGTTGTCAAGTCCAAACATTCACCTTGGCAATATAGCATCTTCTATTGTCAACCAGAAGTGATGACACGAAAAATCCATCTGTTTCTTGTTTTTCATGTGTATTCTTTATTCATTATTATAAAATTATCTAAGACAAGGTATAATACAGAATAATAATAATAATTGTTCACAAGGTACACTTGTGAGCTACTCACGAGTAGCCCGTGCATTATGTAATTCAATAGGGCAACACAGGCTACTTGTAAAATAGGTAAAATTGACAAAGATATTCACTTTCAGTATAATGTATGAAATCACTCATGTATGGTATATAAAGGTTTTAAGTTGTGTTAATTCCAAAAATATAGAGAAGCAAGTTGTCAGTCAAAAGCTTCCATTTGAAATCATTAGCAACTCCTGGGAGAATGAAGTAGGCATATGATCAATATTTTAATTAAAAAAATTTGTTCTCTGACTATTGGATTACCTGCCAATGCCTAGATGACAAGTGTTTTTAATACTTTCAGTTTTAACAGCTTATTTATGCCCCTGTCTTACAAAAGTCTAGATCTGTCTATGTAAATTTGGGGCCCGATAATGGTGGATACCATTCTTTTTATGAACATTTGAAATATCATGTTATAAAATTGTGAACTATCAATGCCTGAACATCTTTTGATTGAAAAATATCCAAATCTAATTTTATCTAAATTTGATAATGAAAAATTGTACTGTAATCAAAATGACTGCCCAGTATGAGAGGTATTAATTTCATTAATTGCTGGCTTACGAAAACTTCACTTTCAAATATTTTTATGCACAAGGGTTAGAGTGAAATGTCTAGTGTAATTCTCTAGGAATAAACACTCAAGTCACATATCTACCCTTCTTTAGTATAATTGCATTTAGAAATTGCTAGGGAAGCATATACATAAAATTGAAGTGCACTTTTAATTTTATCTGAGATTTCCCCACAATTAAAGTACTATTATTCTTCATGCAATTTTTGTATTAGCTCAAAACAAGGAAGGAGCAAGTTTATTCTATAAAAGATGGATATAAGATGAGGAAACTAGGTGTTTGGGGTTACATTTCAATAGAATGTGACATAAATGTGCATGTACTGATGGCTGGTATAAAATAGTTGTATGAGTTTAAGATATGAAAATATTTCCAACTCTAACTTACATGATCCTCAGTTTTAAGTTTGAAGCCTTACTCTGACAATTTACTTTCCTAAATTGTTGAAATTAGCTTTCTTAAAACCATTTTATACCAGTTTTCATGCTTTCTACCAGAAGTGAACATCTCATTCCACAATTTATGGTAAATAATATATGAATGTGACACCTATTCCACAGTTGTGAAAGCCCTTTCAACAATTTTTGTTTATATAGGTGACACTAATTAGGTTTTAACAAATGTGAGCTTTTTTTTTTTGAGTTTTTAGAGTTTTGTTGATTGTTTAAAAATTATGAGGACATCCATAGTGTTAAGATATCCTAAGCTGCATACAAAATTAGATTCTTTTATAGAACATAAAGAAAAACTTTACATATTTCAATAAAGAAGTATAGAATTGAATAATTTTGAGAGCAAAAGTTTAGGTGAGTGCTACCTTAACAAATGTGTTATTCACCATTTAACATTTTTGTTGATGATAACTTAAATTGTGTTAGCTAATTTTTAATTTTTCTAAAAATATTGGAAAGTTAATTTTTAGACAAGTACATGTAGGTAATGTCAAAGGCCTTTAACTTAATGAGTTTCATAACTGGGGTAGCATATAATAGGTAAATGAACCTTTTTTTAAACTGAATGTGGATACTTCAGTGACAATAATCTTTCA